CCACCCCCACCCCCGTCCTGCCTCTCTCCAGAGCCCCTCGCCTCCCTCTGGTCCCCCTGATCCTAATTCTCTGTCCCCTCCGCTCCCAGGCCTGCTCCCCCATTCCTAACCTAAAGGATAACTGAAGCTCCGCCTCCGCCGTGACATCACCGTTTCCAATAGCAACTGAGGCTTCTGCATTCCCAACAGCAAAAGCCGCCAGTCGGACAAAGCGGGCTGTCCCTACTCCTCAGTGACGCTCTGAGCGGGGGCGAGGGGAGGTCCACGCCTGGTCTGCGGGCGCCCCCTCCCCTCCTACCCCCTGCAGTTCTCACCACCAGGCTGAGCCCCGAGCCAAGCGCTGGCGGGCGGGCAGGAGGCAGGGGCTGCAGCTTGGTGGCTCCCTCTCCGGCCCTTTCTCCTCAGTGAGGGGAACCCAGGCCTGGGGGCGGATGGGCCCACATCTTACTGCAGCCCCACAGCCTCTGTCTGGGATCGAGGGTCACAGTGGGGAGACCCCCAGTCCCCAGCCCTGAGGACGCTTTCTGTTCCCAGGGCTCACAGGAGGGCACACGGGGTGCGCTCAAGGGCCCAGAGCTGGCCCTGTCTCCAGAGGCTCTGTGGCCCTGGCAGATCGGCCTGGTGGGGGGCGGGGGGGCGGGGCCTGAGGCCGTGCTGCGGGCCTGTCTCCTCCACCCACCCCACTCCTCCAGTGGGAGCTCCACTGACCTGGAGCAGCAGTTTCTAAATATCCAGGAATCTGCAAGCTGGTTGTCACGCAGCGGGGAGCCTGCAGTGGCCGGTGGGAGTGTTTAGCTAGGGAGGCGGCCAAACCCCGCCCAGCAGGGCCCTCTTTCTGTCAAAATGGGTTGGTCAGCACCCCTGCCTCCCCAGGCCCGGGTGCCACAGCTTTTGCCTGGAGCCCCTTGCAAGGTCCCCAACACCCAGGGGAGGGTGGAGGCCATGCCCGCCCCAGGTCACAGGCTCCTTGCAGGAGTGCGGCTCTGTGTTGAGATGGAAGCTTCCTCCACCCCCATCATGGCTTGGGGTGAACTAGAGCAAGCCTTTAAAATATATATATATGTATATTTTAATTGATTTCAGAGAGGAAGGGAGAGGGATAGAGAGGTAGGAACATCAATGATGAGAACCATTGATCAGCTGCCTCCTGCACGCCCCACGCTGGGGACCAAGCCTGCAACCTGGGCATGTGCCCTGACTGGGAATCGAACCTGGGACCCTTCAGTCTGCAGGCCGACGCTCTAACCAGTGAGCACACTGGCCAGGGCTGGAGAAGGCCTTTGACTGGCTGCCCTGCTGTGACAGAGGAACTGGCTGAGACAGGGACCCCTCTGAATGCTGGGGAAGCGGATTCTGTGGGGAGGCCCAAGGAGACCTGGGGTGCGGCCTCTGCCCCAGGGCTCCCCATGGGAAGGTGCTCTTGGGGTGCACGGCCACCCCAGTGCCGTCTCATTCTGCCCAACAGCACTCGGAGGGACCTGCTCCTGCCCCTCCCTCACTCCAACCACCAGCGCTCCAGTAAGGGCTGTCAATCATCAACACAGCTCCTCCTTGGCCTCAGCCCATTGGCTGAGGGATCGTCACATGACCCAGGCTGACCACTCAAGTTCTTCCCCAGGATTTTAGCCAGTTCGGAACCTGGGACAAGAACCCACTTCTGCCTCCTCTGGGGGTGGCGGGGGGTGGGTGGGGGTGAGTCCCTGGGGACGGGGCTCAAGAGCCGCCGGGAGACACACTTCTGCCCAGAGCTCGGGCCGAGCAGGTGGCAGGAACGAGGCTGAGACACCTTCCCCACGGCCAGCCCCCTGCTGTGAGGGCCCACTCCAAACGGGGGGGTGGGGGGGTGGCTGCCAGCAGACCTGATGGGGGTCTCTGTTCCCTGATCTGGGGGGACCCGAGGGCCCCCCGACCCAGAGCAGCTGCAGACCCCAGTGGTGCTGTCTCGCTTGCCCTCGTGCTGACGTCCACGCACACCCCGTCCGCACTCCACTGCCTGCCCCACCACGGGGTCCCTTCGTCCCTGCCTTTCCAGCTCCTCTTTTCCCGGGCGGCCATTCTCCCAGCTTCACAGGGTCCCCACACATCCCACGGGGACAAGACCCGCCACCTTTCATTCACGCCACAGACATTTCCTGAGCACCTACTGTGTGCCGGGCGCAGCCCTAAGGGCTGGGGCTGCAGCAGCGGAAGCGTTAGGCCCAACTCATCTGGCCCAAAATGAGGGCCTTTGGCCACTGCGTGCGCCTCACGTGCTCGGAAGACAAAGGAAGTGCAACGGGCCCGGCCGGCGCGGCTCAGTGGGTGAGCGACGGCCGAGGAACCGGGAGGTCAGGGCTCCATTCCCGGTCGGGGCTCCTGCCCGGGTTGCACCTCGACCCCTAGTAGGGGCGTGCAGGAGGCCGCTGATCCATGATTCTCCCTCATGGTTGACGTTTCCCTCCCTCCCGCTCTGCCTTCCTCTCTGAGATGAGTGAAACGTGTGGAGACTTTAAAGGGGAGGAAGCCCGCTCCTCTCTAACAGACCAGCTGTGTGATGGGACCTG